TTTTTTTTCTTTCGTTAATTTTGTCAAGTGCTCGAAAGAAAATCAAAAATTTCGTAAGAATTTCGAAAATTGAAGTTTTGACAATTTTTTTTTAAGATTTTCGAAATTTTCGGTTCAAAATAGAATTTTTAAAATAATGAAGCTGAAAATAACTTCTGCGAGTCTAAATCAATAAGAAAATCTCTTTAGGTGACTTTTAATTTTCGAAAGTCATCGGAAAAGGGTCAAAAGTTTCATGGGCTTTTTGAAAAATTGAGCATTTGGAAAAGTTGTCTACATATCCAAAAAAAAAAAAAATCTAGGAAATAGATATCGATGAGTTGACTTCAAAAAGCACAGCCTGTTAATCTTCCCAGACTAACCTTTTCGAAATTTTCGGATTCAAAATCAAATTTTTAAAATATCGCAAAAACATTAATTTTGCTAGTTCTGGAAAAGTGGTTGGAATGTTCAAATAAATGTAGCCGAAAATTATTGCTGTATATTGAAATCAACAAGAAAAGAGTTATTTTCAAAAGTACTAGGAAAAAAGTCAAATATTTCCTAAAGGGGTTATCGAAAATTTGAACTTTTGGCAAATTTGTCAAAAAAACTCAAATATTCTAGGATATAATTCGCGACCAGCTAATTCGAAAAACATAGTTTGTTTATCAAGATTTTTGAAATTTTCAGTTTCAAATTCAAAATTTTTAAAATATTCCAAAAATTGCCGTAATTCATCTTAGCAATTCTCGAAAAATAAAGACGAAAATAACTCCTAAAATTCTAAATCAACAAAAAAATATCTTTAAGTAATTTATAATTTTCGAAAGTGCTTGGAGCAAGGTAAAAAATTTCATGGGGAGGGGCTTATTGAAAACTTGAGCTTTTGGCAAAGTTGACTATAGATAAAAAAAATAAAAATTTTGGGAAATAGTTATCAACGAGTTGACTCCAAAAAGCACACTCAATTAATCTTTCCAGACTAAACTTTTCGAAATTTTCGGTTTCAAAATCAAATTTTTAAAATATCGCAAAAACATTAATTTTACTAGTTCTGGAAAACTGGTTGGAATTTTCCAATAAATGTTGCCGAAAATGACTGCTGTATGTCGAAACCAACAAGAAAAGAGTTATTTTCGAAAGTACTCGGAAAAAGAAAAAAATTCCAAAAGAGGGTATTGAAAATTTGAACTTTTAGCAAATATCTCAAAAAAACTCAAATATTTTGGGATATAAATCGCGACCAGCTAATTCGAAAAACATAGTTTGCTGATGGATCCACATCAAGATTTTTGAGATTTTCAGTTTCAAATTCAAATTTGTAAAATACATATTATTCCAAAAATTGCCTTAATTCATCTTAGCAATTCTCGAAAAATAAAGCCGAAAATAACTTCTAAAATTCTAAATCAACAAAAAAATCTCTTTAAGTAATTTATAATTTTCGGAAGTGCTCGGAGTAAGATAACAAAATTCATGGGGAGGGAGGCTTATTGAAAAATTGAGCTTTTGGCAAAGTTGGCTATAGCTAAAAAGCAAAAATTCTGGGAAATAGTTATCAGCGAGTTGACTCCAAAAAGCACACCCAGTTAATGTTTCCAGACTAAACTTTTCGAAATTTTCGGTTTTAAAATCAAATTTTTAAAACATCGCAAAAACATTCATTTTACTAGTTCTGGAAAACTGGTTGGAATTTTCGAATAAATGTTGCCGAAAATGACTGCTGTATGTCGAAATCAACAAGAAAAGAGTTATTTTCGAAAGTACTCGGAAAAAAAAAATCCAAAAGGGGGTATTGAAAATTTGAACTTTTAGCAAATATCTCAAAAAAACTCAAATATTTTGGGATTTAATCGCGACCAGCTAATTCGAAAAACATAGTTTGTTTATCAAGATTTTTGAAATTTTCAGTTTCAAATTCAAAATTTTTAAAATATTCCAAAAATTGCCATAATTCATCTTAGCAATTCTCGAAAAATAAAGCCGAAAATAACTTCTAAAATTCTAAATCAAAAAAAAAATCTCTTTAAGTAATTTATAATTTTCGGAAGTGCTCGGAGCAAGATAACAAAATTCATGGGGAGGGAGGCTTATTGAAAAATTGAGCTTTTGGCAAAGTTGGCTATAGATAAAAAAACAAAAATTCTGGGAAATAGTTATCAACGAGTTGACTCCAAAAAGCACACCCAGTTAATGTTTCCAGACTAAACTTTTCGAAATTTTCGGTTTTAAAATCAAATTTTTAAAACATCGCAAAAACATTCATTTTACTAGTTCTGGAAAACTGGTTGGAATTTTCGAATAAATGTTGCCGAAAATGACTGCTGTATGTCGAAATCAACAAGAAAAGAGTTATTTTCGAAAGTACTCGGAAAAAAAAAATCCAAAAGGGGGTATTGAAAATTTGAACTTTTAGCAAATATCTCAAAAAAACTCAAATATTTTGGGATTTAATCGCGACCAGCTAATTCGAAAAACATAGTTTGTTTATCAAGATTTTTGAAATTTTCAGTTTCAAATTCAAAATTTTTAAAATATTCCAAAAATTGCCATAATTCATCTTAGCAATTCTCGAAAAATAAAGCCGAAAATAACTTCTAAAATTCTAAATCAAAAAAAAAATCTCTTTAAGTAATTTATAATTTTCGGAAGTGCTCGGAGCAAGATAACAAAATTCATGGGGAGGGAGGCTTATTGAAAAATTGAGCTTTTGGCAAAGTTGGCTATAGATAAAAAAACAAAAATTCTGGGAAATAGTTATCAACGAGTTGACTCCAAAAAGCACACCCAGTTAATGTTTCCAGCCTAAACTTTTCGAAATTTTCGGTTTCAAAATCAAATTTTTAAAATATCGCAAAAACGGTCATATTTCATTTTGGTGGTTCTGGAAAACTGGTTCGAATTTTCGAATAAATGTTGCCGAAAATGACTGCTGTATGTCGAAATCAACAAGAAAAGGTCTTTGGGTAATTGGGTTATTTTCGAAAGTACTCGGAAAAAGGTTAAAAATTTCGTACGGGAAAAATAGAGCTGTTGGCAAAGCTGCCTAAAAATCCACAAGAAATTCTGGATGTAGATATTGAGGAGCTGATTCAATAAACACAATAAATTCGAAATTTCCCGTTTCAAAATAATTTTTTTAAAATATCCAAAAAATGGCCATATTTTATTTTGGTGATTTTGAAAAAGTCGTTGGATTTTTTTTTCTTTCGTTAATTTTGTCAAGTGCTCGAAAGAAGATCAACAATTTCGTAAGGAATTTTTCGTATCGAAAATGTTAAATTTTGACAACTTTTTTTTTTTAAGATTTTCGAAATTTTCGGTTCAAAATAGAATTTTTAAAATATCTCAAAAATTGCCACATTTCATCTTGGTAATTCTCGATAAATGGAGCTGAAAATAACTTCTACGAGTCTAAATCAACATGAAAATCTCTTTATGTTACTTTTAATTTTCAAAAGTCATCGGAAAAGGGTCAAAAGTTTTATGGGCTTTTTGAAAAATTGAGCTTTTGGCAAAGTTGTCTACATATCCAAAAAAAATTCTACGAAATAGATATCGACGAGTTGACTCCCAAAAAGCACACCCAGTTAATGTTTCCAGACTAAACTTTTCGAAATTTTCGGTTTCAAAATCAAATTTTTAAAATGTCGCAAAAACGGTCATATGTATTTCATTTTGGTGGTTTTGGAAAACTGGTTGGAATTTTCGAATAAAGGTTGGCGAAAATGACTGCTGTATGTCGAAATCAACAAGAAAATGTCTTTGGGTTATTTTCGAAAGTACTCGGAAAAAGATAAAAAAATTCCTAAACGGGGTATCGAAAGTTTGAACTTTTGCCAAAGTTGTCAAAAAAACTCGAATATTGTGGGATATAATTCGCGACCAGCTAATTCGAAAAACATAGTTTGTTTATGGATCCACATCAAGATTTTTGAAAATTTCAGTTTCAAATTCAAATTTTTAAAATATTGTCATATGTTATCTTAACAATTTTCGAAAGATAAAGCCCAAAATAACTTCTACAAGTCAACATCAACAAAAAAATCTCTTTAAGCAAATTGTAATTTTCGTAAGTGCTCGGACAAGGGTCAAAAATTTCGTGGGGAAGAAGCTTATTGAAAAATGGAGCTTTTGGCATCGACGACCTGACTTCGAAATCGCGTAGATTTGATGTAATATTGGTTGCAGACTTCTAATACATTGATGTGTTTTTTGTTCAGATTGAACATAGGGGCTTCATAGTGTATGTTCAGAGTTAAAAAAAAATGTCCCGGTATAAATAATAATCAATCCCGTTAATTCGCCAAAGGCTCATCAGTCGAAGACGAATTCAAGAGTATAGTATAAATAATAATATACTAATATGACCTGATCGTACCGATTATTCTCCTCGATAGACAACTTATATCTATAAATGCTTTAAGCTGTCGGTCTATAGATATTGGATACTTTTGGGGTGCATAAAAATTAGTGATTTTTCAAGAATTTTGGGATGTCTAAAAACAATGAATTTTGTAAGTTTTTTAGAGTGCTCTTGAGATAATTTTGCATGATTTTGGGTGATTTTTGACGGTTTTTTCATGTGCCCAATTTTTGGTGGTCTACAGATATTGGGGTAAAAATGAATGCTTTTTGAAGGGTTTTAGGGCTTTCTCGGTTGTTAACTTTTGGGAAAACAGCTAAATTTGTAGGATTCTATCCTGTTTTTTAAGACGCCAAATGTCCTGGTCCAGAACTAACATTTTATGTCCTACTTTGTTTAAAAACGAAACATTACATTATTGCTAAATTCTGTAAGTGCGACGTTTAATTTTGCTTAAATGAAAATTAAATGATCCCCCACAAGATTTCGAAAATTTGACGCTTATGTTCTCTCGAAGGAAACATCGCCATAAAATGGAGACATCACCCCGTGTACCAGTCGAAAGAACCTCCGCCGCGATAGCAATCACGAAACATGGCGATGATCAGTGTTGTTCCATGTTTTCCGGTCGCAGTGGCGTACCTTTTCGTACCTGGTGGGATAATGAGTCGGTCATGCGGGCCCGGACGGGCACCGGAGCGGAACAGCGCGGGGGCATCGGGGGGCGGCGTGTTACGGACTGACAACTCCGAGCGCGTTTCCCGGACGCTCGTCGACTGAAGCGGAACGGCTGCATCTTACACGGCCATTGCCAAGACCAAGAGTACCATTGTGGTACCAACAGCCATTGTGGCAGACGAACCAAGAACAGCATATGCTATGCGTGGCCCTCGAGCTCCTTTCCCAACCGGATCATCTCGTGATCGCGCGATTAAAGTTCATCACTATCTGGAACAAAGATACATTGTTGAAATCATGACGAAATGCCGACATTGAGGCAAGGTTTTTGCCCTCAGCTGCCCAAAATCGCTTCCTGTTGATGGGAGAGAGAGCACTGGCGACACCGGAGCGGGCTCGATTTACTCGTTTCTTCTTCCTTTGGATAGAGAATGGTTCGCTAATGACGAAATCGGACAGATATTTACCACGGAATAACGGTTTTTAGGTGGGAACGTAAGGCTCTGTTGCCATAATTCGAAATCGGTTTTGCATAGATCGAAAGTAGATAGATTCGGAAGGAGTGACTGCATCGACTACGTTATTAAATACAGTTAAATTGCTACGCCACTGGGTGTACGTTGGTTCAAAGTAGAGGCTATTTTTAAGCTTATCAGAAGTTCTCGCAGTACTTTACAAAGTAAGCTGAACTGCCTTTAAACTGTTAAACGACACCCACGAGGTTTTAATTTACGGCTTATGCTAATTGACTCTTCAGGCTATAAAGGAAGAGCTAACGAATGAAGATCGTCCGATCAGAAAGGCTTCATTTTTGAAAAGTACCTACTTGTTAATTTGCGATATAAAAGAACCTTGAGAATGTAACAGCGCGTGTTTACAACACATTTGTTCATTTGTATATTTTATCATGAAAAACTTATAGCTTCAGGAATGGTTATGGATTTTCAGAGTAGTACTGATCAAATGTTATGTAAAAAGCTCTATTTTTTATTAATTGTACTTGAAGGTGAACCATTTTATCAAAATATTGACCTTTATTGATGGTTTATACATAATTACATATGAAATATAAGATCTACAAAAATACCATACAGCAAAAAATTCATTACTATGCATTAATTTAAATTACTCATTAAATATTAACGATTTAGCACATACATACTGATGTGTGGGATTAAAGTCGATTAAAAAAATAATTTTGAGCCATGACAATTTTTATGATGTTAAATTCCCAGTTGAATTTTTGTTATCACAAATGTGCAAATTTTATTAAAAAGATAAAATAATTAATGAAAAGTACACTTTTTGCGTCCCGAGCAAGTGTGGTAATAGGAAGCATGAGAATACTGGTCACTTTTATATTTTCTCAACCCCTAGAATACGTATGTCACTGGAACTACTGGAGCGATTGTTCACATTTTTTTTTTGCTCTTGCAGTTTATGAATCCGTTTTGATTTTTTACCCTAGATACCAAGATTTAAAAAAATCAAAATTGTATTACAACACGTTAAAAGAGTAAATCGTTAATCAAAATTTATCGTCAGAATTCGTATCGAAACTGTGCAAAAGCTTTCTAGCTTATAAAATATCCGTTATCGTAGGAAATTAGAAATTCTAGATAGTTTTAAAAATTATTAAATTTAAATTTACTTTAAATTAAAAATTTAAATCGTTGAAAGTGATATGATAATTAGGAATAAAAAATTGAGGAAATGCTCTGTGTATGATGTTTTTTGTTCCATCGAGAGTCGCGTTGACTAAGGAAACAGTCCGTTATTTTTATGCAATTATAGTTTTATATCATTTTGTTCGCGTAGGAGTATCAAGACAACACCGGTTTTATCGACTTCCTAACGAACACTTTCAAATACAAAATACTGCACCATGAAAAGGTGATAAACCTAAGTTATTTTATGAAACGCAGCGATGGGTTGGGTTAGCTTAGCGTATATGCGACGAATTCTAATAATCATTTTGTTGACTGTTAAATTTAATATTTTCTGTACACGTACTTTCTCGATTAGCTCAGAAAAGTGCATTTAATTTTCCTGAAATTCTAGAAACACAGTTACGCTCTAGTTAGTGTTACATTGTACACACCAAACCCCTATAAAAATTGATGGCATTAAAAAAGTCATAATCAGCTTTTTCGAAAAATTACAAAATTTAATTTTGCGAATTTTATTTTTTTTATGACGACCAGCACAATTTCGGTAGGATTTATTCTGTAAAATTTTGTGATGACGTCATCAATTTTTTGGCAGGTGTATACAAATATATTTTGATTAAAAATTATCATGCTTAGTTTAACTTTAAAAGGTCTGCAAGATCTCAAAGTATTTAATTTTGTGGATTCAAAATTAAATTCGAAATATTGCTACAGAATGTTGTTTTTTTTTCACAAATTCAGATGTCAAGGGAAAAACCAACACGGATTTATAAACTACGCTTGTATGACTGTGTTGTTTTATACAATTAAAAACCCATTTACTATGTACAAGTTTGAAATGATGTCAACAAATTGTTGGCGGGGATGATTAACCAAATTTTGTCTAGATGGTATTCCTAATATACACACAAACGGTGACAACAATCAGTCCAGTAGCTTCGGAGATTATCCGGTGTACGCAGACGTACAGACAAACGACAGATACACGAAAAAAATGATTAAGAATCCTCAAAGGTAAAATTTTTGTGGATGGTAATTTTTGTCAAAATTATGATTTGGAGGCTAAATCAAAAATATGTTTATAATTTTTTTTTCGATTCTTCTACAAAATAAAATATATTTACCTTTGCGTTTGTGGCTTAACTCGGTTTTGTTTAAAATATTTAACCCAAAATTTCGTTTTTGTTTTAACAGCGAAAAAGAAGTACAGTATTTTGAATTATGTAACTTAAATTAAATGGTTTAAAATTTAATTTGATCTATTGTTAATAATTACTGTAACATTATTAAACCCACAGAAAGTGCAAATATGTACATAATCAAGCTGAACCTAAATCATTCTGCATTCACAATTCTAAATTTATTTTTTTTTGCATAAAATTAAACGAAACGAATGAGTGGCAACGTAGGTAGAAGTATTATATTACCAATTTAAAGTTTTTATGGCTAATAATCAAAAACTGAAGCATCTAAGTTTTACAAGAGCATAAAGCCATTTTTAATTTCAATAATTTTCGATTAAGATTTTTTCGTTATTAAATCACTTGAAATCCAAAAAGACCGAGTATAAACCTCGTACATAATGATACTTGTGTAATCCAAATAAATTCTGTGATAATGCAATTGTTAGTAAATTTTATTCATAATCCCATCTGTTGTGAAAGGCAAAATAATTAAGGTACAAAATCGTTCGTTCAAAGTAATGGTACGCAAATGAAACTTTATTACAAAACGCTTACTGTAATGGAAAAATTGCTAAACAACGTTCAAACTTTAAGACGACTGAATCCCGTGGAATTTAGTGATTTATTTGCTGTTGTATAAAAATTTATAGGTCGACTAGACTTGTGGTAAACCACAGCGTTTTCACAGATCATGAAAAGTTAAGAAATACAGTATATTTTGCACGGCTTTCTGCATATTATTATTACTAATATTGTATATATGATATTTTGTATGTAATATATACATATCTTTTTTAGTTTCCACTAATAGTTCAATTATATCTTAAAAAAAAAATAAATGTTTGTCACTATAACAAGTAAACATTATACCGAATCCAAAATTAATTAATTCCCATGCCACAATTCATAAATTTGACAGATAAATTTAACTACAGCATTTTGAAATTTTCTGGGAAACTGAACAACCAACTGGAAAAAATTTATCGCTTTAAACTGTTTGATATAACCGTATTTTAAAAGACGCACCATTTACATCTGTTGGCGTTAAATGAACGTTGAAACACAATCATCTATGTGAATTCATTAGCGATAAAATTTTCTAATTAAAATATTGACAGGCGTTTAATCTGAAATTATTTTTACAATAAAGTGCATTCAACAGACTTAAATTAGTGTATGTAATTAATAACTTTACCTGGATTATGTGTATATAGTACTGGTGCATTTATGATTAATAAAATCTGCGTTGAATTATGTTATTACTTTTTAGTTTTAAAAATGTGCAACCAAAATTTAAGAAACTTGTCCATGGGCTTACCTTTCTAGATACCAATACAGTTTTTATTTTTCTCAAAGATTTTTTTGTGCCAAGAAGAATTTTGACGGTGTTTTGAAAATTTTCCCGTTTAAGAGGCAATTAAAACTCGAAAATGATATTATTCTTGGTACCTGTCATATCAACCTAAAGTACAAACACAATTCCAGGTGAGCAGGGCATGTGTTACCCGCACTAGCGTCCTTAATCAATTGATAAATATAGCGATCATCTGCGATTCCTTTTAGCAAAGTAGCATGCGGGTGTAATATAAACAGCAAAAGACAGATAAACGTGTTTTTGTTCTGTAATTTGACTACCTCCGATTCGGTAAATACATAAACTGTATCGCGTATCGCAATAATTTAACTTTTGTTTAGTGGTTCACATAATGACCAATAAATAAGAGCAGATAAGCAAGGTACCATAAACTTACGTCAGCATTGGCCGATAAACGGTCAGTGGTCAATTTCAATATGACAAACACACCGCTACTGTATCCCTATTAGGCTTGTCACAACATAATTTTCCTTTCGGTGGTACTCATTACATATTCTGTGGACTGAATCATTACTCAGAGGCGAACACGTTGTTCAAGCACGCATTTATTTTCGAAAAGATGTGGACGATTTTAGGAGCATCATTACGGTACCACCTGTAGGCTGAAAGTATAAAAGTGTTTATTTATGTAAAGGAATAATTAAATTGGTTATTATACGTAATTTCAGGACTTTGTTTTTTGATTTTAATTTTATTCATATAAAATTATACGAAGGAATTTTTGCTTTAATTGAGAGCCGGCTCATTAAAACTGAAGTCGGTCGTTAAGAATGAGGCAGTACTTCGGGATCAGTGGTTTGTGAAATTATGAGAATTATGAATAGTTTATTATTATTTAATGGTGCGGTCTGAAAAAATCCGTACTGGTTGTAGGTTTTCCAGTGAAAATGGCCTGGTTTACGCTGATATAAATCGATTTTCTCTGATTTGAGTATAATGGTAATAATAGGTTTGGCATTTGTTGTGGGGGGCAATTATTGTATATCATGTCCAAGGTCAAAATGGTGAACATTTTTGTTATTATTTGTGTTAATTTTAGACAATGTTGTGCAAATATTTTTGTGGATTAAGTATTTAATTAACTTATCTTTGGTTTCCCATGCGAAAATGAATAATACATTTGGATATGCGGAGTGAAAATTCACATAGGTACCACCTCTTCCTATTGTTTCAGATAGAATATATTTACAGTTGTCGGAGAAGAAAAAGACGAATATATTATGTCGTTATGAGATAATGATATATAATCTCAGAGTTATGTAATTCCGGTCTAATGAAAGGAAATATGATTGTTTCTTTTTGACGAAACAAAATTGTATAAAAATGTTTAATCACCGGTGCTATTAATATAACATTACTAACGAAAAATTTTCGAGTGGCAAAATCGGCTTTTTTATTGCGACAGCTTAGAACGTGAAACGTGTTTTTATCGGTAATTATAAGTTACAAAGTTAGCCGCCGAGTCCCTTACTTTCTCCCTGCTATAATAAAGGCATAGGTATGCACCGACAAGCCGTTATAACCTTTAACGACGTGTAGCTGTCCGAGCGAACAAAAGTCATTAAACTGGGGTGCTCTTTAAATTTGTTCCAATACCGTTGGAGGTAATAGCGTTCGATCGATTGATTCCCTTTTGGACAAAGAGTGCAGCTGTCGTCGGTACTATCGCGTCGTAGAAGATGGCAAAAGTGTAATTGTTGGCAATAGTACCTGTTTGGTCCCGTTAGTTTAATAGCATGTTGGCGAGGGCACGAATGCCAGCACCGTCCAACTGACGCCGAAGAGATTCCAGCAGTTCCAGCACCTTGGCGATAGTACTTCTGCAGATGGCCACACCACGTACACTCACCACATTTCCTAGAACTAAACGGCAACAGCATATTCTGACGTCAGATAATGATTTGCATTACCGCACAGGTGTTTGGGTGCTTGGTCGTCCTTTGGCGCGCCGTCGTAGCGGACAAGGGCTCTGAGGATGGCACTCAAAGTCCACGGGTGTGCGAAGAACCCCGTGAATTCTTCCAGTGCCATTCGCAGGCCTATGCTGGGAACACTCAACAGGTAAACGTGTCTACACAATCGCGGACTGACTCACACTGAATGTTGTGGCCAGTGTGCGAGCGACAGGTAGGTTGCCCCTGCCCCTCACCTGGGAGGACATTGCACCTGTAGCTCCTCTGGTTGGTACCGTGACACTGTGTGCTGATGGGTTATTAGTCATCCATTCGTTGCTGGTAGCTTGCGACAAGTCGCACGGAACAGTACCATCAACGCGAACTGCTTCCAATCATCGCTCTGCGGCAAAAAACACCACCAGAACCATCAAACCCATTCCAATCCACACCTCGATGGAGACGGCAGGACTGACCCGGAAAAACTGCTCGCGCTACAGAGCCACAAGATGAAGCGAAGCCTTCAATTCAACCGAAAACCAGCAAAGATCATGGTAATATTTGAAATGGTCACACTTTAACGTCAATGGAAGAAGTGAAGCCTTAAATTGCCAACAAGCTGGAGACGTTTTCATAATGCTGGATCGGGTTCACGATTACGAAATTAAGTAACAATGACCACGACAGTTAGCCACTTTGAACCTGTGAGAAGCAAAAGTTGGGTTCTTTCTAGTGATGGTTTCTTCACAGGATTCGCTCAACAATGAAATGACCTGAATGAACGTCTCGCACGAAAAACGTCTCCAGCTTGACATAGACATAAATAAGTGATTTTTAATTGTGGAGAAATAATTACGCTGCTTCCATCATAAAGCGTACGCAGTTTTTCTCGTTTTGATGATTCTGCTACGAACTCTCCCCTTTGTGGTTATTTTTAGCGAATTTCCTGACTATATCGCACGATTTATTTCAGTCTGCGTTTGGTACTTCCTTTCGATTTACGCATTTTTTATATTTTTTTTTATCTGTCGTCTTTCAACTAACTCACCTTTTCGAATGCTCAAAGTATTCAAGCTGTTTCTTTTACTACTTCTAGTAACGGTTGAATTTCCAGGTCGTTTTTATTTCTTTATTGCTTATTGCATCAACTCTCATTGGTTTCTTCACGTTCCATTGAAATTATATCTCCTTCGCTTATATTTTTCTCTTTAACTTATTGTTCACTATCAATACACAATTTCAATGCAACATTTCATTGCAAAAGTTCCATTATTGGAAGTTATATAGAAAAATGAAAAAGTTCCGTATGGAAACACACTTTTCTGCAGTATTTGCAGTAGTTCATAGTGTTGTACAATACATGTTCAACTGATGGAGGTGAAAACATTAATTTATCCTTTTTAATTAATTTAAAAACCTGTTAGCTTTTAAGCTGCATTATCAATTCTATGAAAGGGCTCACTAAAAAAATTCAATAAATTCGTTATAAAATCAATATGTAAAGTAAAAGAAAAAAATAAGTAAAGGAAGAAAATTTCTTCAACACTAGCTGCTTTCACTGTATTTTATTTTCGACAAAAAGTCGACAATATTTCTAAAGTTTTGTAAGCTGAAAACGGTGGTGAAAACCGCGCTCTGAAATGTCTATTAATAGTTGAGATATTGGTTTTTAGAAATATGTGTTGAAAAATTTTACCAAAATAAAACAAATGGCGATGATAAACAGTTAAAAAAATTACCTTTGCACAACAATAAGTCTGTTAATAATGAAGATATTACATTTTGAAAATGTCTTAAATATATGTATACGAAAATGGAAAATTTACTTTTTGTAGTTTATGAGCAATTAGGCACTTGTCAAAATAACAGCATAAGCTATATGTTTGGGAAATAAAAATTGCTGTTCCTGATTCTTCTTTATAAAATTTAAATGACGCTTACTATAGTTTACCCATTTCTAATTCGGTTATATGATAGTACCCCATTGTGATAAAGGCAAAGTTAACTTCCTTAACAACAGATTACTATACTGTCGGGGATGGGACAGTCATAAATAAGGATTTAACCATGCCATTATCATTATGCCTTATAATGATACCGGTGATGGGACAGTCATAAATAAGGATTTAACCATGCCATTACCATTATTCCGTATAAGGGTTAAATCCTTATTTATAACTGTCCCATCACCGGCAGTAGTAATCTATTGTTAAGAAAGTAAACTTTTAGAAATCATAAAATCAAATTACAACTGGGGAATCTATACCACAATTTTGAGGAGACGTCATTCAATTGTTAGTTAGCGTTTTACCATTTACTTAATAATACTAACATGCATACAAAATTTGACAACAATCAGTCCAGTAGTTTCAGAGATTATCTGTCCAATAAACAGATCGACAGGAAACAGGACACCTAGAGTTTGTTCACTAAGGGTGTGAATTGTTAGTGTCAAATTTTTTATAATTTATTTGACTGCACTAGTTTTCAGATCATTTTTGCCGTACGATACACTAAATCTAGTAATTTTGATAAAACTTTTGAGGTTAATTTTATCGTATTCGTCATTCAAATTTGTTGACTTTTTCTAAATTTGTACAGAAACTACCTTTACAACCCAGTGTAATGTGAATGTTAAGCATCAAAGAAATTTTTATTAAAGAACAAGAACCGGAACTACCATAAGCGATTCAACAATTCCGTGAGCATGTAAAAAGTGATGGGATGGGAGTGATTTTAAATTTCTGATTTCGTCAACCTTCTTCTAGCCTAGTTCTTCTTCAATTTATTAAACTCACAGCTGTCGTCATCTCTGCAAACAACAACACCTAATGTACCTGGAATGTGCATCACCAATGTAAAATTGTAAAAAAAAATCATGAAAAATTCTTACTACAAAAATACTTGCAACAACAAGTTTTTCAATTTCTTTCTAACAGTTTACTGTAATCCGACCATTATTTTGACACTAAATTTTGCCGCCCGTCAAGGGTTCTTAATCATTATATTGCTGCCATTGTAGATTTTTTAAATCTTATTAATTTTTCATCAGTGGGGCCTACGTGGTGACAATCTGACAATTCAAAACCTTGGTGACAAACAACATTTTTTCGTGTCTAGGGGTCATGAAACATGGAGGAAACATTAAAGTAGCCAATCGCTCGATGGACTCTATTACATCTCCATCAACAATTTGATGAAATCCCTTCAATTTTTTTAATAAACGCCATTTAAATTTTATAAAATAATATATTCTTGTAGTAGTGGTTTATGAATCCGTCTTCATTTTTTACCATGGGTATCAAAATATTGCGTTCTTTTCGAAGTCATGATGTCATTTCAAAATTTTGCTGAATAATTCTTACTTGAAATGTAAAGTGTGACATGTTTCTTTCAGCTGCGGTTTATAAATATACATATTAAAATAAAAAAAAAACGAATAAACCGTCACTGAATTTTTTTTAAATTAGTTAATTTTGTTGTATTAAAAAAAAAAGATTTACATGAAAAATTGTAAACCAAAATAAAGTCCAAGATGTGTGCGGCATAGTGTTGTGTTATAAAGGGCATGTTATTTTTTTTTTATTTTTACTTCTGAGAGTAAGCTGAGGAAGTATTTGTAATCAAGTCAACTGGATTACTAACTACTTTTACGTTTTTCCAACCCCCGAGAGTACAAAAAAATAGGTCTTCCGTTGCTGTCCGTCCGTCCGTCCGTCTGTCTGCTGTCCGTCCGGATTTTTATTAGACAGTCTGCGAAACTACTGGACCGATGGTTGTGAAATTTTGTATGTGTATTAAGATTATCATGCAGATGGTAAAACGCTAACAAAAATAGTAAATGTTATTTAAATTTTATAAAACAAGATCCTCCTGCAAATAAAGTTTATGAATCCGTGTTGAGTATAACAACATTTTACAACTTATCTTTGAAATTGCAAAACCGAATACTTACTCTGAAAACTTGCAAGCGCTTGTTTACAATTTTGCCTCAAAATTTACATGCATGTGTGATTTAAGAGTGGTTATTCTAGGCATCCAGATTTTTGATAAAAAATTCAAAATCATAATTTACAATTTAACTTTGAAACTGGCAAAAAACGACTGCTCCTACAGATATTTTAAGGAAGTATGTTAGGTACCTTAGTAAATCGTTACCAAAATTTGTCCGTTATGTTACAATTTTGCCAAAAAAAGAAAAGCAAGAGACAACTTATGTTGGAATCTGTAAATGGGTCTTTTAATTATTTTAAAACCTACCTGCGTACTTCTCTTCAATAAATTTTGTTTTTTGATTTGAGTTGTTGAATTGTCGGCATTTTGCTAATGCAATTCGCCCAAACCATTTTATGCAAAACTCGACTGTTAAGCAATAGCTTTACAACTTTACAACTTTCGCCTGAGAGCCAATAAAATGAGTAATCCAAAGGGAAAAGGGGTGGGTGGGCGGGGCCGCTTCTGACTCTTGAAAATCTTAGATTCTACCGTTTTTCAAAATAGAATTCAATTTCCATTTTACAGTAAATAAAATAAATAAGTGAAATGGAGAAAAGGGATGGGGGGGGGGCTGGGTTTAGTTTTTTTTCTACGCCCGCTTTTTTATTCCAGCACTACTCTTGATATTGTTCAGTCTTTTATTAGCAAATACTAGCCCCGCCCACCCGCCCTCTATTCTCTTAAAGGGTATCATTTGCCAAAATCAGTCTTATCTTAACAAATACTAGTATGAGGGCTTGAAGCTCACTCTGTTTACACTGGTTTTAGTAAAGGTTCGATAAAGTAAATCATTCAATTTTGCTACAGAAATCATGGGCCTATGGTTTTTCAGGCGCAATCTTATCGTGGTTTCGTAGTTACAGAAGAGTCCCTCAGGGCTCTATTCTAGGTCCGATACTTGTTTCATTATTTATTACCGATACTGGCTCTAGTCTACGCAGTAACTTTGTTTTATTTGCCGATGATATGAAGATTGATAGAGCAATCCGCAGTGAAAAAGACATTGATGATCTTCGAATGGACTTAAATTTTTTTTTAATTGGTGTACCCTAAACAGAATGGTGGCAAATGTTGATAAATGCGTCCCTATCAAATTCAGTAGAAAAGTCATTGGTTTCAATTTGAGTTATAATTTAAATGATTTATCTATCCCTACTGTTATTGTTGTTAAAAATATATAGGAATTTCTTTGGATTCTAAATTAACTTTTCATGATTATTATGATTATATCATTTCGCGACAATTGAGATCGGGGCGGTTATAAGTGCAGCTAATCTTTATTTTTTTTTTTTTACCTTATACCTATAGTTTTCTCTGAATAGCTCAATTACTTAGGAAGTTGTTTCACATGGTAATTTCTTGTAAAGAAATAAGGATTTGGCAATTACG